TTTTTTTAGGTTAAATTGTTCAAAAAATTAAATTATGAAGTTATTTAAAAAGATTAAATGAAGAAAAATTATCCATAAAAAAAAATTAGACTTAAACCATTCTTAAACAATTTAATAAAGTTGCGGACTTAAAATTTGAGTCCGGAGGGTTGAGAGAAAAAATGATTTGAGTCCGAGCAAAACCCAAATAGTCACTTTTTGGAGGGGGAAAATTTGGGTTTGGCCCTCGTGGGTTGGAGATGGTCTGAGCTGCTCTATTGGCATCACGCTGAACATACAAAAAGACAACTGAATGCACCTGCTTCACCATATGCAGGATGTCATGAAGCACACCTTCAATACTTGCATCACTGTTCGCCTGCCCCCGTGGCCAATCTCCAAACACTTGTACCCTCTTTGGATTCCCGTGGCCAAACCGGTCCGCACAGCTTCCGCTTCCACTACAAGCGCTGAATCACTCTTGTCTCCCCCTTCGCCCCCAGCAGCAACAAACTCGCCAACCAAAGAAAATATGAACTGCATCTTCATCTTGCTCTGAACACATCACACACTCCTTATCTACCGGCACCCCGCTTCTTCTAAGATTTCTTCTGAGAGCCGAATAATTATTACAAGATCAAGATGGCCAAATAAAATTCCGCAATTTGTTTGGCACCTCAAGCTTCTATTCAGTGGTCTTGCAATGATGGTTTCTGGGCCTAACTGTATCCATATAGACACAAACCCCGAAATCCTACATAGAAGCTCCGATCTCGACACCTGGGAATGTTGGTGGGCAACCCTGGAGTGCCCACCAAGTGTTCGCTGAAATGCCACAAACAAGTATATTCTACGCCTTGTTTTTGTTTGTCCTTGCCAAGCGACCCGTTTGTTAACCCATAACAGATAACCCGGCCCAAAGTCCCACCGACTATGTTGGCCAATAGACTCGGAATCAATTTGATACTTTATATGTGGTGTGAGAGAGTTTTGAAATGAGGCTTCCTCAAAATTGCTATCCCTTATATTAGGATTGAACACATTCAGCTTATTACTGTAAAAAAAATTGTCCCTTGAATTGCTTATTTGCGCAGCTGGTAAAAATTGTCAGGTTTTTACTGGTGGTGTAGTAATAAACGTATAGTTAGCCTGCCGGTTCTAAATATTGATTGCATGGTATAAGTGGAGATCTTTAGAAGATAAGCTATGTTTAAGATCATATCTGTATTCTTTTGGTACTGGAAGATAAAGCTTGCAGTAGTCAACTAATTCCTATATTCAACAGGATTAGGGAGCTGCTCCTACATGTGATTATAAACTCCAACACATCTTATGTCCTGGTGGTTGTATTGCACTTTGATGTTGTTTATACTTTATAGTTAAACTGGATTTAGATCTTTACTCTCTCTGAGTTCAATATCGTTGTCTGTCTAGTTACCTTGGTTCTGTCTGGAAATGAAAATTAATTTCTCTTGTGTTGTTTTCCGTCGTTTTCATGTTTACTTTCTCTCTGTGCTTGTGCTGAAGAAAACATGGATGTCAAAAAAGAAAATGATGAGAATGTCATTCCTAACACACGTACTTCTACACATCCATTAACTTCAACTTCCGACTTGCATCCAAATAAGAGAGCGAAAAAAGATACATTGACACAAGCAATTGGCCAGGCCGGAATCTTACCAAAGGAGTTCTTGGCAAGTCAAATGAAACCGCAACTCATAGGAGAGGAGATACTTGCAGTGGTCTCAAAGATACCGAACCTCAGTAGATTGCAAGTTTTGAAGGGCGTACGAATATTATTGAATGGTAATCCAGAAGAGTTCTCTATATTGAAACATCTTCCGCATGATGAGAAGACAGAGTGGATCCTACTACTTATTAGTCAATCTCAATCCTGAAGGTAACTTTCTTCCTAAATACTGATCCAATTGTTTCTCACAATAACCAATGCTAGGAGTAATAGTATTCGTCTCTCAATTAGTTCTATCTGTTTTCCTTGCAGATTATTTTATTTACTTGATATTTTATGTTGTGACATGCAGGTTTTCTTAATTGGATTTTCAGTCTCATCAAATTTGTATTTGCAAAGATCAATGCCCCATCCATTAAAGGCACCCCTTCAAATTTTAAATATGAAAGTCTAATTTTCCCTAGCATAAAATAGCTATTTGAATCTAAAGAATTTTATAAAAGAAAATTTTATTCTCTGCCTACTCCCCTCAGATCCCACATTTGATAATCCACAGCTTACATCATCTTCTCCCAACTGTTATCCTCACTCAATTACCCTCTATTGTTGAATCTTAAATGAAACGATGTGTCTCACAAGTCTAGTTTCAAGAGTTTGGTTTGTGAAGTCCCCTATTTTAATAAAACTCTGCGTTTTGATTTAATTTCCCATAATCTCTCCCATCCATCCACGGTCCACCCAATAAAATCACTGGGCGCAGCCCCAAAATCTCATTTCGTAATTTATTAACCCAAAAGTCGAAAATAAGCCCTCATAGTTCATATTGTCACCTCCATGCCTCAAACACTTAGATATTTAGCCGTTGTTTTTGTTTTGTTAATAATGCCTATTTGTGAGGGACTTAGTTAGCATTTGATCTATTCTTTTGGAGAATCCCATAAATCTAGGATTGTTAGACGTGGGATATTGTTTTTCTTGGTTTCATGTTAAGTTTGTTTTTGTAAGCCTATTTAAACTAGGTCTCTGATTTCATTCAATAACAAATCAATTTTAACAAGCTGTTTACACTACTGTATTCGAAGCTTATATATTAAACATTTGGTATCAGAGCTCCATCATGGGCCTGATTAACAAGGAAGCCACTGTCTTCTCATGGGGAAGGGTAATATTAAAATTATGATGAATAACAACATGCACACTATTACTGGCGTGTTCTATGTTCCAACACTCAAAAGTAACTTGATTAGTCTTGGTCAGTTACAAGAGAAGGGTTGTCAGGGATGAATCCAGGATTTGAAAACTTCGTGGGCTTACCTTACGGACGCAGGAAATTTCAGTAGTGAGATAAAAAGATATAAATGCTGGATAAAAAAAAAGGAGAAACGATGGAAAAAAAACAAGAGAAAAGCCGGAAAAAAAAAATAGGAAGAGAGAGAGAGAGAGAGAGAGAGAGAGAAATGAGGAAAAGAAGAAAAAGAGAGAATATGGATATTGCAAATTTTAAAAAAACAATTGCATCGGCTAGAGAGAGAGACTACATAGGTATTGATAATTACAAAAAGAACAATGCACTGGCAATAGCTGGATTCGTCCCTGAGGGTTGTGCTATCAGCATTCAAAAGGATTGCTGCGAAATTCATCATCCATGGAAAGGCCTTATTGCGCAGGTGATCGGTTCATAATTGTATATCATTTTGTACCCTCTAGCTTATGATTTGGTTATGTTTTTGAGTTAAACTTGTGCTTTT